CTTCCTTCCTTCCTTCTTTCCTCCTCCTTCATCTATAGATGGGAATAATATTAAAATTGTTAATAAAATAAAATTGTTAGGCCTTGAAATAAAAGAAAATCTAGGATGGGAAACCCAAATAAAAACATTATATCACAAGCCAGCTGAAGAATGTTTCTCTGTGCTATGAAAGGGTATACAGCTGAAGTGGAGAACATGCTTACCATCTACCAACTATACACAAGGCAATCGATGTGATACGTACGCATGTGCTGTTTGGCACTGCAGTCTTACTAAACTATAAACTAGTGGACTCGAAAAAATACAAAGGCGTGCCTGAACAAATTGAACATTGTCAGCTTTGCTGAACGTAGGGAGCAATAATTGACTCTAAAATTTGGTCAGAATGTCCCCCAGTTAGAGAAAGACATCGACATATGTTTTCCAACGGAATGTCTAGTGCATATAGCCCCCATTGCCCAAAGAGATTTACTGTACCAAAATCTAAAAGAAACAAACATAAAACTATTATTCAACAATCCCATAACTAATAAAGAAAAATGATAATTGTAAATGAATTTAATGAGATCCAAGTAAATGCCCTTTATGATTTTTAAAAAGTAATTGTCCACCATACTATTTTCACGATCACTTATTAAATAATCTGCAAATTCATTTTTTTTCTCCTATAATTTGTTGTCTTTATTGGGTCCTTCTGTTGTGAAAGTTTATATATATTTAAATTTATTTTTATAGTATTAATACTGTAAATAATACATTTGATTGTATTTAGTAAATGTTGTATATATTAAAATATTGTTGTTTTTTTTAAATTGTAATTTTAATAGTATTTCAATGTGCAATCTCTTTGAGTAAATTAATTGCTATATTGGAATTGTATTTTTTTTTGTAACTGTTAGTATATTTCAATGAGCAATTTTTTTGTAATATAGACAATTTTTGCCTCTACCGTTTTTGTATTCTTTTTCAAAACCGGTATTATTCGTTCAGCCTTCAGAACGGAGGGAAAGATACCAGAGGAAAGGGACTCATTAACTATTGTATTGCTAGTGGGCAGCAACTCATCTAAACACCCCTTCACAAGAGCAGTCGGGAGTGGATCAAGCGGACATGTTTTAGATGGACAGGATATATGATAAGTTTTCTGACATCTTTTTCAGATGAAACTTAAAACTCAGAAAAAGAACAAACCGGTTGACGATTTCTAACGATGATATCATGCACTGTCAAACTACAGATGTTATGTCTATTTTAAGGAGATGGCAAACTTACTAGCTTGATCCAATTGGCTAAGGAATCACCAACAACTGGGGATCCTTTCTGATCTTACATTACCTAAATTATCTACAACGTGGAACAGCTGGCTGTCATTACACATCTGTGATGATTAGTTTTTGCGTTGTAGATTTGCTTAAGAACTTCAGATCGAGTTTTCAACCATTTTTGTTTATATTCCTCTTCACACGTTTTTTGCTCGGAGAGATCATAATGTGATCTCCAGTTGAGATTGGATAAATACTTTTCCAGAATGTGAGAGATTGTAGAGTTAGGCTGCAAACAAGAATCAGTTACGTTTATTTTAGGACTAATTGATTAGATGCCAAAATTGTATCAATATCCTTCGAAGTTTGAGGTTAAGATCTTCAATGTTTCTAGATCAAATCTTGATTTAATAATAATAATAATAATAATAATAATAATAATAATAATAATAATAATAATAATAATAATAATAATAATAATAATAATAATAATAATAATTTGCAATTTGTATAGAGCCTCCCGTTGGACCAACCTCGAGGAAGGAAACGGACAAGAAAAATAACCATAAACCTAGTCTAACAGCACGCCTAACCGAACAAAACCAACACCGTGCCGTTTATCGGCAATTTAAGGCGCGAAGCCCGCCGATGCATGACTCGCAGGTGCTCAATTGATGGCGGTGTCTAGCTAATCAGTTATAAAGGGAAAAGAAAGAATATATTATAAACAAAATAGTGGTAAAAAGTGTCTTAAAGTAATTCAGTAAAATTATGTATGTTAATACTAGAAACAATGTTGTCAGACATGAGAGTCGACATGATAAGGTACGGTAATACCAGTGTAACATTTTTATTTATTTATTCTTTATACTGGAAAAACCTGTCCAGTAGCATATCTACTGTTCTCCCACAGGGCCTAGTACAAAAAGTCAACAATAACATACACAATTTATAAAAACGAACAAAATACATAAACCAGAAAAAATACATCCAGACTCTAACATTTTTTAAATTGTTAAAATAATAAAAGATCACATGTACAAACATTTAAAAACATATTTAGAGAAATACAGCAGCAAAAATGGCTAGTTGTTAATGATAATTAATAATAATAATAATAATAATAATAATAATAATAATGATAATGATAATTAATAATAATAATTGTCACAATATTTAGGATATTTCATTCTACTTTGCAGCACTACTAACTGAATCGTGAACTAATGAATAATCATAGTTGTATGACTCAAGTTAAAACGGTCTGTGAATGGAAATAAGTTTAATTGGATATCACTCCCAGGAAGGTACTTTAGATAATTTCACCAGTGACAGCAACTTTTCCCTGTACGTGACCCGAAACAGTGACCCTAAAGGCCACGCCCAAATGACAGTAATCATGTCATGAGAGACACGAATGAAACTTTTTCCATTGGCACTATTACACATTGGGGGTTACAAAATACCAATGACAGCAACTTTATCTTGTACATAAAGCCCAGACAGCAGCCCCGAGGGGCCCCACGGGCCTCATATGATGGCTATGTGATAAAATTAAGCACAGAGAGACATGGATAAAACTAACTCGGAATTACTACATGTACATAGAAAAATGCCGAAAAACTGATGACAGTTTAAACAGTGACCTTAAAGGCCACGCCCAAATGACATTAATCATGTCAAAGGAGACACGGATGAAACTTTTTTTCCATTGGCACTATTACACATTGGGTGTAACAAAAATACCAATGACAGCAACTTTATCCTGTACTTAAGCCCAAACAGCTGCTCCAAGGGGCCCCATGGGGAAAGTGGCTGCATGATATTATCATATACATAAAGAAAAACTTACTGATACAGTATACGCAGTATTGAGTATAGGTGATATGGTGTGGAACTAAGTCAGTTGGCTTTCTACTTGTATGTGAAAAAATTGTATAAACACTTTGTGAAAATTTGATTAAATGTTGAATGCCATTTGTATTTGTCATTACGTTAATCCTATGCATAAGTTTTGGTATTCCAATATAACCAGACACACATAAGTTACTATTACAACAGTATTAGTGGGAAATTTATTTAAATTAATATGTGATTGTCCCATCGGAAATTGGTCCAACTTCATTTTGAATAAACTTAAAGAACAAGCTTGTACTGATTGGAGAAGTAATCTTGATCAAAAATCTTCCCTTTCAGGTTACTCAATTATTAAGGAAAGTCCTTGCCGTGAAAAATATTTACTTGAAACTACAGATTTTGAGGGTGCTTTCATAAAATACTTTACCGTTACAAAGACGAATCTCAAGTTGGCCCGATAATAATGATGGTATTTGTTCTATTTGTAGCTCTTATTCAATTGAAGATAATAGAAATTTCTTTTTTTCATTTCCTTCCCTCCATAACATCAGATTGGAAGAACTAGCAAAGCTTGAACATGAAATAGTAAATAAAATAGGCATTTGGAACCAATTTATAAATTCAACATCTGATCAGAAGTTAATGTATGTTCTTGGCTCTTTTTCACTAAATCTTCAAAAGAAATTGAAGGAAAATTCGACAGGTTTTGTAAGTATGCTACAAGGGCATGGAAAAAGAGAAATGAGATCAAAAAAGAAAATGAACGTTTTTGACTTTAGTCCTGTATTACTTTATGACTTTTGATTTACTTTTATGTACATCTGTGTTATTTGGCCTGATATGTGTGCTTCTTGTGTGATAAGTGGTGCTGTATAAAGTATGTACTGTATGTATTTATGTTTATAATTGTGAGTACGGTACAGTCATGTGACTATGGTTATACAGTTGTGTATGGATATATATGTACTTATGTACTGTATGTGTATTTCATGTACGTTTGTATGGTGTTTGTATAATTGTTCATGTGATTGTTTGCATCACTTTATTTTGCCTTAAGTTTTCTTTTGTTTAAGTTTGCTTTTAATTTAATATGGCTGAACAGTTTCTTTTTTACTTTTCCTTAATGTCCCTTTTGAAAATTCGAATTGTCTTTTTCTTAGCATAAGTCTTTTGTGAACTTTACTGTACATATTGTTTTGGACGCACTTTCGATTGAGAATTGTGCCACAGATTAAAAAGTGTAGTTCCTAATAAATTATTATTATTATTATTATTATTATTATTATTATTATTATTATTATTATTATAGATTAACCTTTAATATGGTGATTATTACTATGGGCAGGTTCAGAGCTACATTCACAATAATGACAAGTACAGTAGGTAGAGTGTGGGTCATAAGCGAATATAGCCTAATTTGTGGTTGTCAAATGGAAAACAAATATTAGATGGAGAGAAGTGGATTGTGTTCTACAGTAGATGCTTGGAAATGCACTTTGCTGAATTCTGAGATGTCTGTTAATGAATGAATATTCTCAGAATTCAAGTTTTGCCTACTGTAGTGTGGATGATGACGATGATGATGATGATGATGACGATTAACAACGACGATGATAATGAAGATGATGGTGTGGAGGATAAAGGAAGGAGGTTTGAGATGTAGGAGTATGGCAAAGAAAAGAGAACCCATGACTGGTGCTGGGGTCAGCAAAGGGTGTAGCGACAAAAGCCCTGAAAAAAACCAGTGGTCCTTGTGTATTGGCGCCAACATTGTCCTCTCATAATTAGGATATTCCCTCGTAATTGTTTTCCTTGTGTAACATATGTGAGTGCGGTATATAAGTTAATAAGTTTCGAGCTCTATAGGCCTACAGTTAAACTCCAAAAGACATTTTTGGATTTTGAAATAAGAAAATAAAATAACTATTGGCATTATCCTTCCAGAGTAATGTTGTATAAATCAGCGTAACTTAGGTGTGTCTGGTTACTATTGGAATACCAAAACTTTATGTATAGGCTTAACGTAATGGGAAATACAAATGACATTCAACATTTAATCAACATTTTCACAAAGTGTGTTTTGTACAATTTCATATTGAATTTCCTAGTTTTCTTCGCATACAAGTAGGAAGCCATTTTGATTTCATACCCTATAAAATGACATGATTATATTTTCTGGGCTCCCTGTCTACTAGGTACACTTCCGTGTTTCAGCAGCAAGTTTCGGTAATAATGCAGCCAATCCAATTATCCAATCATTATCCTCCACGGCGATTCATGAAATCATGGAGGTATATGGTATCATGTATAACCAAATACTTAGAGGGTAATAGAATAATTTATGGGGAGCTAGTATTCCATTCGTGCTTACGGCACATACATAATCTTACTTTGGATAACAGTGAAGCAACAGCTGATTGAAATTAAAATATAGACTAAAATTTTATTTTTTAGTATTAACTATATAGGTCTACAAAACTATTCACAGCACCTTAATTGGTTATGGTAGGTGCCGGTATGCTAATGACTTGGCTGGCATAATATATGAGAGCAAAAAAAAAACAAACTGGAATTTCCAGTTTTACTGAATTGCAGCAGCTGCTTGAGGCGTAGTTTAAATTTTTGGGCTATTTTGTTCGTTTAAAATCTTCGTTTAAAGTCTTCGTTTCCATCTAAGGTTTGTTTTCATATTTAGCATTTTAATTTCGTTAACGTGAATCATGTTTTATGTGAATTATTATCGGGACTCGCTATGTTGACGGGTGGAATGGCAAACTTCCTGATCGAAGCAGCTTGTCAAAACTCTATGCCCTAGTATAGGCCTATATTAACAAACATTTGGTGAGATCATGGTTCCTGGTAAACTCGTTAGGCTATGCATAAACATATATTATTTTACTGTCAACAAGATCAGGCTAACCCCGCCGCCTAAATAATATTCCATATTAATTTCCATATTCATTTAAAAATTTGAAATAACTTATTCAATTAATTCCAACCAGAGACACATCGAACGAAATTAGGTTTTACTGATTTAGAGACACTTTGCTACAAACACCTTTAAATTGACTGTAGGCCTACCAACAAATGGTCTCTACAAAAAATACTGGAAATGTATTATTCAACTATCGGTTCATTGAAGTTGTTATAGCAAATTTAAACACAAAATTTTAGCAACTCAACTATGGAATAAAAGGTTTCCAGCTTATGACAGACAGATGAAAAGGGCAAGTCGTTACTTTTCGTAAAGTGCTACTGTAATTCCTTTACTAAAATAACTCAACTTTATCGCCAAGCAAGGGTAAGGAATGTTTTATGTCAAGGGACAAGAATTACATGTCGACTAAGGAGCAGGAAATCTCACGCCATTGCAAAGGCACTTCCGGGGGTGGGGGAAGGTTATAAAAAGAAGTGGATATATTTACGTGTCCATAAACAAATCAGTAAACGATATATTTACGTGCAATAAATAAGGCTGCGCAGTCTTTAATAAACTTGCATTATCGGCCACGTAAATTTTATTGATTGTGGTTAATTGTACGTTAATGTGAGAGACTTTCAGAACTCAAAATTAGCGTCGGCCCAAGCTGTGATGCCCAAGCTCACCACGGCACTGATTTGATATTATGATTCTGTTTCTTTTATTAAACATATAATTTAATTTTCTACAATAGTATGTAGTTTAATCATTAAATAAATGATTAAGTCATTGTGATAACTTTTCAAATACAAGTGATATTATGAGCTGGAAATATTTGTGTTCTTTTCATTTTACTCACGTCATTTGTTGAATGAACACGTACACACGTTCCCTGTGCTAAAACTAGTACTCAACCACGAAATCAGAATTACCACGAAATCAGAATGTTATTCTTCTAGGCCTAAGCCTGTATGTTGTACGATAGTCAATCACCACAAAGTAAATATTACACTTTAATGATATCAATCAAACACATTTACCGACAACATTGTTATAATAGTCTGTAGTTGAGTTGAGAGCCGAACCACTAGCCCCGATCATGGCATCACATGCTCTCTCTGCCCCACCACCCGCTGGCGCCACTTCTGCTCATATCATAGATACAGGTATGTTAAAATTTTAAGGATTGCAGTCTCTTTATGCCTGGTTCATGACCCATGGTAGAAGCAGCCCGTTGTTATAAATCATAGAGGTAAAACGTCTATTGGGTTTTATCGTCAATAACATTCGTAAGCGTACTTATTTTACATGATAATAGCTAGTGAACCAAGACCATTCCTTAAAAAATACATTTTGATTGTCTTGCAAATCAATAGCGTTCTTTGCAAGTCATACAGTATTTAGGCCATGGTCTGGGGGTGGGTCACCGTACACATCTACCCCCCCCCCCCACCCACAGTTAAACTTCCTTGGTATCATTTTGTTCCTACGGGCATATAGAACAAAAAAAAAATTGATGTTAACAAGAAAAATATAGGGATGCATTGTATGTACAGTACTCGCGTCATTTACTAATGGTCGTTAGTGTTTTATGGTCAATACTTTTTTTTGGGGTGGGGGGTGGGGAGGGGTAACATTTATGCCCATAACCTGTGATTTAAAAATCCCATCAATATTATTTTGGTAGCAATGTGTAGCATATATTTTTCTTAATCATGCTGTTTAAATAAAATTAATCCGACAATTCTTAACGTCACTAGAGGTCAAAAGGTCATCGATCTTTTTCTAAAATGCAATTTTTTCATAAAATATCAATAAACCTCAGTGTCATATGTCTAATTTTGGATATATTTGATACAAATTGTGTTTTTCTTGTAGTTATTGACATATGGAATACAAAAATTGAGGTTAACAAGAAAAAAATTAAAATGCATTATGTAGTATTGTCAATGTTTACGATCCGAGAAATTTGTAATCAACAATAGTTTTTGAGGTAGGGGGTAACATTTATGCTCATAACTCTTGATTTAGTCAATGGATTTGTATTATAGTATTTTCTATTATAAATAAGCATATGGAATATAAAAAAATGATATTAACAAGAAAAATGTATAAACTGATTAAATATAGGCCTACTACTGCCATTGTGTTATAATCCTAGAAATTTGTAATCAACAATTTTTGGGCTAGGGGTAACATTTATGCTCATAACTCTTGATTTAGTCAATGGATTTGTATGATGTTGGTATCAACATTTAGCCTATAGATTGGTAATTCATTCAAATTGAAAAATTGAAACAGGCAGAAATTGACGTAGCTAGAGGTCAAAAGGTAATTGACCTTCACAGAAAAGTTGTAAATTTATTCCCAATTCACTCGCAAACTTTTACAAATCTACAGTTGTGAGTAGATTTGCTACACATTGCTACCAAAATAACATTGATAGGATTTTTATTTCACAGGTTATGGGCATAAATGTTACCCCTCCCCCCAAAAAATATTGACCATAAAACACTAACGACCATTACAAATGATGCGAGTACATACAATGCATCCCCATATTTTTCTTGAGGAACAAAATGATACCAAGGAATTTTAACTGTGGATGGGGGGGGGGTGTGCACGGTGACACCCCCCCCCCCCCCCTTCCAGCCCATGGTCTAATTAGCATCAGCCCGACGTGTATGGTTAGACATCGGGGCCATAATGAAAGCACCGTAATCATAATAAAACAAGGGTGGCGCCTGCGGGCGGGTGGGGATGGGGTGGGGCCACAGCTTTCCCCCCCCCCGTCGGAGAGAGTTACCCCACCGTTGGGGAGAAAAAACACAATTCGTCGGGGAGAAAAAAAATTATATGTATTTTCTACATATTAGCAGACTCTAAAATCGACCACGCCCACATTGCTTTCGTCGGAGAAATCTGACCCCTCGTCGGGGTCATCGGCCCTCCCGTCGGGGACCTCCCCTCCCCCGTCGGGAAAATCCTGGCGCCTCCCCTGTAATGAAAGCGCCGTTATCTTCATAAAAAGCGCCGTAATGCCATTCATTTTTAACTAATCACAGGTTTAGGATGACGCCAACAGGGTCATAATGAAAGCGCCGTTAACTTGTTACAAAAAAAAGCGCCGTAATCATAATGAAAGCCCCGTAATCATAATTCAATTCAGTTCAATATAAAGTTTATTTCCACATGATAAACACAAATACATAGACGGAGAAATACATAAGAAAAAACAATAATTTATAAAAATGTAGGCCCATCAGAACAATTTTTAAATAAAGTGGAAAAAGGGTTGCTACAGCAAGCAAGCTTTATAACGGGCGCCTATTGATTATGAACGCATTGATAATAAAAACGCCGTAATCATCATAAAAAGCGCCGTAATTATAATTAAAGCGCCGTCATGCCATTCATTTTCAACCAATTACAGGCTTAGAATGACGCCAACGGGGTCATAATGAAAGCGCCGTTAACGTGTTACATTAAAGCGCCGATCATATAAAAAGCGACGTAATGTTGTTCATTTTACATCCAATCACAGGCTTAGAATATGACGCTATCAAAATTAGAAAAACGCCACTTTGAGTAGCTGGCGCAAGGGTCACACTTTTTAGCCAATTACATTCCGTCCTTCATAGCAGTCGGCCGATCGAAGGGGCGAGAGCATCCAGGCGCGGCCGAAGGTGCGAGTCGGAGTGTGCAGGGGTCTAATGGCCTGAGTTCTAACGGTTTTTATTCATCTTTTTTATAGGCCTAGCCAAGGGGTGTCTATAAAACGAAGACTCCTATTTTTTTTCTCTTTATTTTGATAATATACCAAGCTGTCACAAAATTAAAATTACGAATTTTTTTGGACGTCCGTTTGTGAAATTTTCAAGGGTGTTCGTTTTATAGACACCCTATATGGGTGTTTATAAAACGAAGACCGAAGACCCGAAAAACAAAGGCCTCCAATTATTTCTCAATTATCTTATTGGAAGTATTTCAAAATCATTATAAAACAGTTGCCAAGTACCTATTTCATTATTCTATCGGAATAAAATGAGGAATATCAAGAAATACTTTAGGGTCTTCGTTTTATAAACGCGCTATATGAGTGTCTACAAAACGAAGACTGAAGATCAGAAAAACGAAGACCCACATTTTTTCTCTCAATCGTGATGAAAATAATGTTTTAATGTTTTTAAATAATAATAATAATAATAATAATAATAATAATAATAATAATAATAATAATAATGTTTTAATGATTTTAATGTTTTTAAATAATAATAATAATAATAATAATAATAATAATAATGTCTTAATGATTTTAATATATTTTTTTTTAATGTTTAATGATTGACGTAACTCTAGGCCTACCCTATAGCCTAGGCTAGATAGAGGACTATTATAAGGTTTTAGTTACGCAGGCTGAAATCCCCATCATCCTCATCATTAACTGCTTCAGTGACAAGACGATTGATGATGGATTTAGGCGTACTTAAAGGAATTTTAAAATTTGCACATCCATTGCTCACGGTTCATGTATTGAATGGCTCCAAAAGCGATACTGGCGGGCCCAGTCAAACAATCCATCACGTTTTCGTTCAATTCAGCAAACATGAAAGAAGGAATGTGATTGGCCAATAGTGTGGCCCTTGCGCCAGCTACTCAAAGTGGCGCTTTTATCGAACAAGTTAACGCCGTAATCATTATGACCCTGTTGGCGTAATTCTAAGCCTGTGATTGGTTAAAAGTGAATAGCTGACGGCTCTTTAATTATGATTACGGCGCTTTCATTATGATTACGGCGCTTTCATCATGATTACGGCGCTTTTAATATGATCACGGCGCTTTTTTTTTTGTAACAAGTTAACGGCGCTTTTATTATGACCCTGTTGGCGTCATCCTAAACCTGTGATTGGTTGAAAATGAATGGCATTACGGCGCTTATGAATGGCAATACGGCGCTTTTTATGAAGATAATTGCGTTTCATTGTGATTACGGCGCTTTCATTATTGCCCTAATGGCTAAGACGTGCCGCCAAGTTCAATCTCTGTATTTTGTTCTGTTCACTGCAGTTATTCGTTAATAGCATTACTTCACAGTTAATAAAACGTTGGTGTAGGCCTATCAACAGAAACTGCTCATTAAAACATATTTCCAAAATGATGCATACTGTCTACTTGCGGAAAACTTTTTGTATTTTGACTGACGACTGACCGATGACATATCCACACAGAAATTGCCCGCGAAACACTCTTGGGTCATAACCTCTAGTGTAGACATAGTACAATTTAAAAAGTAGGCCCCTATTATTTTAATTTCAAAATGCGAAAAAAACTTTCAAAATAGACCTATAGCGGAAAGAGTTTCACCCAGATGTATTTATTGCTTTCAACTCGGCTGAGATTATCTTCGGCCCGTCAGATCCAACTCTAAAAATGATTTGGCCCTTCGAACAAATTAATTAAGAACCAGGGTCACACAGGTTTCTATTTGCTCTAATGAACCTTTCCTAAATGACCGGAGAGTCATTTCTAACCTTTGACCTTAGTTACTTACATTATCCATATCTCCGTAGCTGTTGGCCATACAGACTTGAATTTGGCCCTAAATTGTTCACAACATACAGGTTTCTATTTGCTCTAATCAAACATTTTCTTACAAATGTGACCAAAAATGTCTGGCCTTTGACCTTAGTTACCCAGCATTATTCTTATCACTATAACTGTTGCAGTGGCGTAGCTAGAGGTTTTGGCGCCCGGGGACAAGAGTAGAAAATTGCGCCCCTTCCCCCCCCCCAATTATAATTATAATATTTTGAAATAAATTTATATTCGTTGTATAGACTTTAAGCATATCCGTACCGTACGTCCATATCATGCACTGTCTAAATAACATTATTTAAACCTGAATAACTATTATTATTCTAGCTCTTGTTCTTTCTTACCAGGGGTGGGGCCAGGATTTGCCCGAGGGGGGGGGGCATGCCCCGACAAGGGGGAAGATTTCCTTGACGAGAGCAAAGTGGGCTTAATCGAGCGTCGCTTAAAATCTTCCGAAAGTGGTCTGGGGGAGGGGGTAACCCCCGAAAATTGTTGACAATTTATGGGTTTCATAGGCTATTTAATCGATTTTAGAGTCTACTAATATGTACAAAATACATATAATTTTTTTTCCCCTAACGAATGGTTTTTCTCCCCGACGTGGGGAGGGGGGTTGGGGTGGGGGCGCAGCTATCCCTGAAAGGGGATTGACGCCACCCCTGTTTCTTACTATTGAAACTGCATTACGATGTTCAGAACTTTGTATACAACTTTACCATTATCTTAATTTGTAAGGCTGTTGTATTTATCGCTGTTTTTATTAGCAAATTTATAGATTGTGATTTCTTTTCAGTCCATTTTGACTGTTGTATTTATTCTCTAAATTTATCTTATAGTAGAGTCTTTTAAGTTGCTGAATTTTTAACATTGTTTAAACTCGCAACGGAATTTAGTGTGCTTTTGCATCAGCAAATAAGTTAATAACATGATCAAAGTTAGCAATGTTGTCTGCTTCATCATGCTCAACACAAACTAGTGCCAAAGCAGATAGTCTCGCTTTTCCCATCGTGGCTCTGAGATATGGCAGGGGGTAAGCTTTAGTCATGTAGTCATTACAGAATAGAATAAAAAAGAGAAAACGGTCAAAATGGACTGAAAAGAAATCACAATCTATAAATTTGCTAATAAAAACAACTACATTCAGTTTCTTATTATTAACTGGAAAATATTCATGCCTAACGACATACATCAATTTCGTCGTGTTTTTCTTTTTCTCCCATTTCAGCGCGGCCCCCCCCCCAAAAAAAACCTGGTGCCCGGGGCACGTGCCCCCCTTGACGCCACTAAACTGTTGGCCAACAATCTTTCATCTTATTTTCTAGACAGAGATCATAAAATTATCACTGCACATACATCTGGCCATCGAGTCTGGTCCCAGTTCCTCTCAACTACTACCTATACTAACTTATTTTCCCTGACTAAACTCAAGCCCAGCTTTCATTCCTTAAACTCGACCATCTTCAGCAGTTAATTGTCTCCTAACATCATGTTTACTCTGTTGAAACAAAAGATCATTTGGAAGTAATTGACTATATTATTTTTATTTTTTTAATGTGCCAAATACTTTTATCATGAAAGCATTATAAATTTTCTTTACTAGGTGGAAAACTTTAGACTGAGATGGCAAGTAAATTGGCTTCTGATTTAGATTGTGAAAGTGTGTATACAGATACTTTCGAAAACCTTAAAGAAGTGATACCCGAGGAGATTAAAAACATTACACAACTTGTTTTGCAAAGTGGTGACTCCAAAAGAGCACAACAAACATTGCATCATTATATACAAGGAGGTATATACCGTGACGTGATACAACATCTGAAACTACAAGAGTATTATCCCAAAAAACTAACTAGGGAAAAGGTACTTGTGGTTACGGAAAATACTATTTCATCCGATCATCTTAATGATCCTGGCAAGATTCCATGGTACATTTTGCAAAATCTTATAATGTGTAACTATGAAGGACGCTGTTTTGAAGTGAGTCAGAACCCATCACTTTCTGGATTCGAATTTTCGTCTCTTCTGCAAAATACTACAAACAGCAATGTTGATGCAAAAGAAATAAGTCCTGTAGATGCAATGATAGCTCTTTTTTTGTGTTGCGATGATTTCTTGAGGCAACTTTTAGTTGAAAAAATGTCCACGTGTCAACTCGCTATTCCATTGTTATTACCATGTATCCACACCATTCCGCATACATATGAACTGCTTCTGTGGGCGATGAGCACATTGAAAAAACAATGGAAAGCCTGCTCAGGGTTGTCATGTGAGAGATCAATGCTGTTGCATCCGTTGCCAACGGTATCTGCCATCCGCTTAGGCAGACCCAAGATTTCAAAGTCGAAAATACTTAACTGTATTATCAATGACAATAAACATGACATTTTTTTTCACTCTGGATGTAAAGGTGGTACTTTGGAAAGAAAACTCGCTGCTGGTTTACTTGAAATGGCGTGGTACTTACCAACTGGGAAACACCAGGATATTTTCCCTGATGCCATCACGTTCATGAATTTGAGGGGAAACGCATCTCGTCTTAAAGGACAATCAGAATTTGTATCTGAAATATCATTGGCAACTATTGCCTTCACATCCTCTGATGAATTTAAGGAAGAAGACACTCTCTTACTTGAATCATTGTACAGACAACGTGGGCACTTAATAGTTGTAGTCGATGGACCCCCTGGGCAATACTTGAAAGAGTCAATTCATTCACTGGAAAAAAGATGTTGTATTATAAAAGATAGGCATTTAAGATTAATTGATTTTTCAAAGCAAAATTATTTACAAGTAAGTGGGGAAATAAGAAAAAGTCTAACGTATATATACAATGGAAAAGGAAGGAATTTTGTACTAGATAGAAACATTCAAATGTATGCTGATATTGCAAAAACAATGCGGTTCCATGTAGACGAAAGCACAAAAAACTGCTTACAGGCAAAAGAAATCTCGGAAATGATGTTGGAATATCTAAAACCGCTTGGCAAAGAAAAACAGCTACCTTTGCAACTGGTTACAATAGAAATTGGAGAGAAAAAGAAAGAACAACGTCGATTGAAACTTAAAGGAAACATGCAAACAGAGAAGTATATTGAGAAGGTAAAGTTAAATATAACAGAATTGCGAAGAAAACAGAAACTTCTCAGTGACCATACTTCAGATATATTTAAGCTATTCAAAAGATCGTATACGCCTATATATCCCGTATTAAAGAGGAAATATTTCCACAGCTTTGTTAATATGATAACAGACATGTATAGCATCGACACACTACAGCCAATACGTCAGGAATACATCAAAAAATGGAATGAATTGTGCGAAACTCTTCAAAAGAATCAAAACAGAAAAACACCAGAATCAGAAAAAAGGAAAAGAGAACTTGATGACCTAGAAAATAAGCTTTCTAATCTTTCATTGGGCTTAGAACACTTCAATAGAGAAATTGGACAAATGTACGAAATGGAATTGCATATGAATATACTAAATGATTCAACTCGTCAATTTCCCATTGTTGCAGCAAAAATGTTACTTGATGGATATCCCCTGGAATTGATGGATGGCGATGCATCACATGTTCCACTTACATGGATCGAAGCAGTTTTAACCTCTCTGAACGTTCTTATTGGTGATAAGCGAATGTTTGTGTTGTCAGTGCTAGGTATTCAAAGCAGTGGGAAGTCGACAATGCTTAACACCATGTTCGGTTTGCAATTTGCAGTAAGTGCTGGAAGATGTACTAAAGGTGTATTTGCTCAATTAATGCCAGTGGATAAAACTTTGAAAGAAGATGCTAAGTGTGACTACATCCTAGTGGTTGACACAGAGGGTTTACGAGCTCCGCAATTAGCAAACATTGAACATAACAACCGTGACAACGAATTGGCTACTTTTGTGACCGGCTTGGGCGATGCTACAATATTTAATATTATGGGGGAAAATGCAACTGAAATGCAAGACATTCTTCAGATTGCTGTTCATGCATTCATGAAAATGGAAAATGTAAACATCAAACCAAGCTGTATATTTGTACATCAAAATGTAACAGATGTATCAGCATCTGACAGAAACACGATTCATAAGAGAAAAATCAGAGAGATGCTGGATGAAATCACTCTGAATGCTGCTACAGAAGAAAACTGCAATGAAAAATATAAAACATTTTCGGATGTCATTCAATTCCAAGAAAATAAACATATAATGTACATTTCTAGTCTCTGGCAAGGCGATCCACCAATGGCACCTCCTAATCCAGGCTACAGTCGTTGTATTCTTCAAGTCAAGAGACAGATCATAGAATTCATGCGAAATTGCCAAGCTAAAACAGTCGAGGACTTTAAATGTAGGCTCTCAGATCTCTGGAAAGCAATCCTCTGTGAGAACTTTGTGTTTAGCTTTAAGAATACAATCGAGATTCGGGCCTTTAATGCATTAGAAACGGAATACGTGAAGCATTCTCGTACACTGAGAAGAAACGCAATGACCTACAGCGAAGAACTTCAGATAGAATGTAAGAAACTTGCAGCTAACGAGATAGAAAATGTTGGAAAAGTCATTTTGAAGAGACAGGTTGGTAAATTAGAGAAAGATGTAATGACCTTCAATAAAAGCATGGAAGATTATTTTTCAAGAGAAACAAAAGCATGTCAATGGAAAGTTAGAACGGAATTAAAGATGAATGAATTATCCAATGATATCAGAAGAGAAATTAATGATGAATTTGTGTCTATCAGGAATAAAATTATCGGAAAAGCTGAAATTGACTTAAGTATGACAAGGTATGAAAAAGATATCTTGAAAAAGGCTAAAAGCCTTGCTGACATATTTCGTAATTCTAATGAGTTATCACCTTCTAAAATGAAAAGTAAATTTGATGAAGAGTGGGAAAAATGGATTACTGAAATAGCCCCTTTTGGTGCTGAAATTGATATAGAATCTTCTCTTGACAACATAGCCCGAAGATCCTGTTTACGTCATCAGGAGGAAATAACTCACGTGTTCTCAAGTGGATTACTTCATTCGGAATTTGTAAGAGAAAATGATTTGGATTTTGGTAACTTTATTAAACAAGGGGCTAGATGGATTTCTGGACGTTCAGTTAGTAAATCCACATGTATCGACAATGCAAAAATATCTGCAGAAATGTTACAAAAAGAGATATTACAACAGATTTCAGCTTACAGCCAGGCTTGTAAGAATTATAATGAAAGTTTTGGAAGCCATCTTCATGATTTTTTATCAAGAAAACTAAAGGACATGAAAATAGATGGTCAAATTAAATTCAAAGAGAAAGGAATAGTCCGGGTAACAATGTGTATTCTCTGGTCTGTATTACGAAATTTAAAAAAATTGCAAGAACACTACAGAAGAGAAAATGACCCAAGAACATATATGGAATCTCAAAAGGCCAGATTATGGCATATGTTCAATGATGAATGTACGATGGTGGAATTAAGCGTCAAATCAGCATATATAGTCTCTCGGGAGTTGGAAAGTGCTATTACAAATGTTCTTCCAAATATGTGTAAAACAGGTGTGATCGATCATTTGCGCACTTCTAACTGTCGCGCATTTGCCAATAAGATGTCCTTTCATGCACATATGCTGATTGATATTGCAGAGAATCATAATTTTTACCTTTATCGAAAGTATTTGCCAAATCCTTCTCATTGTATGAGCATCTATACCGGGAAATTTATAAAAGAAGCATGTTTAAAGCAAACAACTACAGGAAACACTTTTTTGAAAGAAATATATACTTTAAAATTAAACAGTCTCTTTACCAAGGTAGAGAGAGCAATCAATGGCACGTGTCAATATTACACAAATAAATGCCAGATTAGCAATTGGTGGGCTAAGTTACATGACCATATCAATCATGACCTGACTGTTAAAAAAGAGTTAGAATTCTTTAACGAAGATGGTAATTTTGACGTTGATGACCTTAAAGAGAAGTTACTAGTAGAATTAAACGAATCGAAAGACAGAATCACACAAGCATACAGAGAGGATGCCATTTTACGTGTCATACTCGAGCCGTGTCAAAATTTTTTTGAAAAAGATCTTCTCGGCTGTCTCGAGTTATGTCCATTCTGCAAAGCGCCATGCGACCTTCAAGTTGGTAACAAATATGATGAACATCGAACAGAGTATCATCGACCAGGAGGAGTTGCTGGGTATCGTCTGCATTATACAAATAGGCTTTCGGTCGATGTATGCACTACATGTGTTATGACAAATATGGAATTCAAAAATGAAGACACTCAAAATAAATGGCATCGTTACAAAGAATATCAAACTGTTAGTGATTATTACAAGGCCTGGAAGATACAGCCGATGGGAGGTGAGTCGCAGTTGTACTGGAAGTGGTTTATGGCAACCTACAACGAAGAACTTGCAAAATATTATGACTGTGAGAAAGCAGATATTCCAGATGGATGGAAGGAAATCAGTTGGGATTCAGTGAAGGAGGACATGATAAATACATACAATCTATAAATAAAAGACATAACTTTCAATAATGGTGTAATATTAATTAATTCTGATAAACTTAAATGAACGTCAACGATAATATACACGTTATACTAGGGAACAGTGAAATTACACTGTTCACTGGTTATACACAGATATTATTCATCAATTCTTATTGTTTTATTTTCAAAAGTTAATAAAGGAATATAACACAATGACAATCTATTTGATTGTTAGATTGGTAGATCATTAATAATGCCTGTATTACACAAATTTATATAGTTTTATTTAAATTATTAAATTATATCTTTAAAGACACATTATTTATGTCTAGTCGTATTAGACAACACCGTAAAAGTTCTATTATGTAGGCCTACTATAAGCCCATCATCATTACACGTTTACATATGTATTTTGTATAGCACTTATTTACAATTTGCAATTGCGGCTTGAATCACTTAAGGTTATGCATATTATATGTTACACGTTAATATTTTAATAATTGATATGCCTATGCATAAATTTATAGTAGATTTTATTTAGTTTGATTTATTTTGATACCATACATGAAACATATACAATATAAACAATTTGAGAAAGAGATAAACATTAAAAGGTTAATATCACGTGGTGTGAGGGACAACCCTTTAAATCCCCCGAAGGGATTTGCCTTCTAAAGGGGATTAACATCCCGTCTTTAACAATTTGAAAAACTGTAAATCCAACTTCAATTATTAAAACTACATATACTGTAGGCGTTTCAATCAATTGTATTACTTGTTTATAGATCGGTTATACAGAGTATACTTAATTTTTATTTAATATGCACTTTTGGAAGTTTTAGTAAAGAAAATAAGAACAAGTTTGAGAGAATAAGACGGTCAGCAGAACGGTGCATTGGTTGTGATATTACTACGATCAATGCTCTATATGAGGAGAACGTTAGGAAAAAGCTTGATTTAATTATGTTGGACGAATCCCACCCTTTACATAATCACTATGTATTTATGCGTTCTGGTCTGAGATTACGAGATCCTCGTTCGACACATAACAGACACAATTTTTCATTTGTAATGAACTCAATTAGATTATATACTAAATATGCATCAAGATAATTTGGTATTAATGATTCTTCTTCTTCTTATCGAGTCACTACGTACCTAGTGTGTATGATCTATCTTACGTAGTATGGTAGAAGGATTCGCAGGTTGGATGGGTACCTGACATGGGCCGCGTCGTGAGCACTCCTTCTGTGGCCGGACAGGGGACTAGAGATGGACCAGTACACCAGGGTAACCCCCTACTCTTCTCGAATGATGTGCTGGGTTCTTTAAAGTGCACACGAGCCAATTGTGTACACTGGGCCTACGGTTTAGAGTCCTTATCCGAGAAGACTTGTTCCACCATCGGAACCATAGGCCAGCGTGCCGTTCGAACCAACGCCGATAGCTGTAGTCACGGTTCTCCAGTATTAACCGCTCGGCCAATCGACTCGCCATTATTAATGATGATGGTTGTTGTAGTAGTAAGAATAAATATAATAAAACATTCATATAGAGCATTTGATCGTAATTATCGTAATGATAATGATTGTAATAATGATGATAATTGTGATAACAATTGTAATAAGAATAATATTTTCATGTATTTTATATATGTTTTTTATTGATTTTTAATATGTATATGTAAATACGCCATGGAAAACGAATTTCCAACATGTTTTAATGTGTGGACAAATAAAAGTTAATCTTATCTTATCTTTCCAAAATCTAAGAATTTTAACGGATCAACATTTAACAATAGAAGAACTCAAAGCTGCATAAACAAATCGCGATTAAATATTGCATCCATCCAACAACGACTTGCTAACACTGCAGCTCATCTGAAGTTTAAAGAATGTGTAGCATCACAGCCATTCTATTGACTTCTTACTAGTTTGTCTATATTTTTAAATAATTTAATAATAAGGTAATTTGTTTAAAACCATGAATTTTTGGTTTAGGGTTTTATCATAATAATAGTACGTTTGCCTGCTACTTGACACAGATGAGTAACCTGGCAGATTTATTGCTTCTCTTTAAACTTCAAAAATTGGTCCTCCGGAATCTTGCATCTCCCTAAGTGGAGTAGATCTCTATAAGTAATGCCAAAATAAGGTTCTTTAAGTTTGTGAAGCATTGGTAGTATTTGCAATGTATAAATTTGATATAGGATTATGGATGGTGGACACACATTATTCGAATGCAAGTACGATACACAGCCAGCTGCTCTTCAACTGTACTGTATTATTATCAGTGCCATAACGGCGAGCCAGGGGGCCTGGGTGAGAAATGTTAGGGCCCTGTTTATAAATGGAGTATTTTTCGCGAATTTCACGAATTGGGCAAAGGGGATTTGTGTTTGCGAAGAAAGTTTCATCTCTCAAAAGAATAACACGATTAAAGAAAACTGAATTATGAGCAATGCTATTATTTTCTACAATTTAACTACTACTACTATATTTAGTACATCTGCACGATGTAAAGCATATTTACTTATCGCTATATTAACATGCAGTTTCACGCCTTTAGAAATTTATTTTCTGTAATGGAGGTTAAAAAAGGAATCTTAAATCTCATTAACCAGCAGTGGTGTAACTACCGCAGATTCAACAGGTTCTTTGAACCTGGGCCCCCGCGCACCAGACTTGATCTATAAAAAAAAAAATCTAATAAATCAATGTTTTATTGTGACATTGAACTATTGTATCTGCTACCTTCCAGTGAGTTACGTAACACCGGGGCCGGGACCCTGTGGCTTTCACAGACCATGTAGACCATTTTTGGCTCTAACTGAAATCACGTTATACATGCGAGGGATAATCAGGGCCGTCGGAACCGCCGCCGGTTGGCCGGACCACTTTTTCTCAATTATAATATAACATTTTAAAATAAATATATACGGATACCTATAAAATTATTATATGAATTTTATTATTAATGTTCGCATGTCATTGTCTTTTTATGTTATATATTTAAACAAAAATCCACCATGCGCTTGTTTTTGTATTGCCTATATACATTTTCAGTTTTGACAATATTTAATTTTCGTAATTTAGATGATTTTTAAAATATTTAGAGGCATATATATATAAACAATATTAAATATTTATAAAAATTTTGGGGTTGGGCAAATAAGTAAAATTAAAATTGTACCAGCAGTATGTTACTCGAAACACTATTGTAATAATTATTTTGTAGGCCAATTGTTAAATATAATGATAGCATATTACATCATGTGTATTCGTAACACTCTTTTATTTTGCATATTGTTTATATTTCGTGATACCCTGCACGTTGTGTAATTATAGTAGGCAGTTATTCATTGTACAGTACCGTACTCGCACGAATAAGCGCCCCGTTTGAATAAGCGCTCCTCTTGAATAAACGCCCCTAACGTGAAAATTGTCTTAAGCGCCCCGCTTGATTAAGCGCCCCAACAATTTGAATACGCGCCCCTAACAAATTCAATCATACAGTTGTGTAGATCACCAACTTAATTGTCTGCGTCAACTATTCGCATGCATTGTCGGTAGGTCGGTCAGTACATCTATCCATCAGGCGGTCTATCAGTCTCCATTAGGTTTAACATGGTTTTCAGTTTTGATGCATATTTAGAATCCCATTCTTGTTTTCTTGCTACCCTTTTTGGATTTATAACTACAGTATTTTTAAATATATTTCTTACTATATATATAATATTAATATATCTAAAAATTAAAATAACGTATGGGCATTTTCAGTTAACAAAAATAAACTGACCTTATCACTTTCGTATCCAAGCAAGAAACCCTGTAATGATCTTGCTAATCTGAATTAGCAGATGGCCAACACGCTTACCACCACCACCAAAACTACCACTAATTTCATCTGCTGTTGTGTAAAGAACCTAACATTCTTGTCATGAGCCATGCTCTCTCGACGATTAGGCCCTACCTTTTCTTCACCAAAACCATTCGTTTATCTTCGATTAAAAAAAACTGCCACTTGAATTTTCCAATTTCTCATAAGCACCCCTTCAATTTTCATCTATTTCTATAAGCGCCCCTCAATTTCAACTCTGTTTTCACAAGCGCCCCGTTTGAATAAGCGCCCCTTTTGAATAAGCACCCCTCAAAAAGAGCCAAAAATATTTTAAGCGCCCGGGCGCTTATTCGCGCGAGTACGGTATTATAATGTATTAAAATAATGCACAGCGTGTTGTTCACCTGTGTATTCATAACACAAGGTTAAATATAATAAGCCTATAGTCAACTACATTATTCATATTGTATTTATATAATGTGTTTGTGTTTCTTGCACTTTATCTATTAATGGAGGTATAAACAACTCAATTCATCTAGTTATGGCAGTGATGAGCGATTAAATTTTGAAAAAAATCGTCATTTCGCAATAAACCTACATTGTTTTAAAATAGGCCTACGAATTTTGAATTATTTAGAGCTACTACCTTCTGTGTCTAGATATAACATTTTTTAAGCTGGGTGATTTTCTGGGCCCACTCCTTAGCATTATGTACAGGGCATTTTTGAGAGTACTGTATAGGCCTAATGTTTTATAGTTATACCGGAAGAATAGGAGGCCTGAAAGTCAAACACTTTTTAAAAAAAGTCTCCGTCATGAACATTACACATAGACCCCCGCTCCAGGCGACCAAGTCAGCTATGGGGATCTATTCGGTCTGCTGTGAATATAACAAGGCATGCTTTGTTACGGGCTGTACGGGCACTATACGGGCACTACAATACGGGCTGTACGGGCACTATCGCTCCCATATATACAACATCTTTAAAAGTTAAAGGCTGACCTGGAGGTCAGAGATACTTGATATGTAGAGACGTCGCTAAAATAAATTGTGTTTTTATTTTTTTTTTTCTCACTTTTAAATAAACCAAGAAAAGATTGGAAAACAATAAATATTTTTTAATGGTGTTTTGGCTGCCATATTTATCGGTTTTGCATGATTACGGTCATACACAGTCTAATGATGTCGGTTGTCATTAGCCCACTCTCTGAGAGAGAGGGCTTATATGATGATTCTGAGCGAATTTTGAAGTCATTTGTTTTTCTATCTCTTCCTTCGTTTGTGACGCGATTAGGCCGATCTTGCAATAATATGGAAGATAAGGCGTGGGGAATTTAAAGTAAGAGTTTTTGCGAAAATATTGTCGGGAAATATGTGAAAAGTATGTTTTTTTTTTTATCATATTTCTTAACACTACGGTGGGTTTCCTATGAAAGCGTGTTCGTCATTGATCAGATTGCAAATCGCCTGATTCCACATTGTGTTTATTAACCAATCACGGCCTGGAATGGTAAGCTTTGCGGCTAATAAATGCGTCTGCACGAGTCTAGTTGGCAGCGAAGAATGAGCCGTTTTGTGGTGCTTGCAAGGGTGGGTGGTCTCTCCCCTGAGAGATAAACAATGTACACT